CAAAGCTGATGTGATACTTTGTTCATGCTGGGGACCCTGAGTTTGTAACGATGTCCTCGGGTGTTACAGGGTTCTCGCAGGTGAAATATTGGCCGTAGTATGGGGAAATGATTCAAGTGTAGTACTCGATGGGTCATAATAAGATCAATTCTTACTCGGCGATAGGATAGTGTGTAGAGTTCGAGCTTTTCACAACGTTTTTCATATGGAAGTTTTCGTAGACTTGGTATCATTCTAGTTGCGATATGCTGTATTTTCTCCAATTTTTCAGTTTCCCACTGGGTTATCGGATGGTAAGCTGGGGCACCGTATTCAAGGATTGGTCTAATGAGCGAGGTGAATAGACGAGGGACGGTTTCTTCGGACCATGTGGAGAAACTGCGTCGTAATGCCCAGAGCATACGAAGTCCCGCACGGTACAATTTCTCTGTATTTTCTAGTGATCTTAAATCATGTCGTGAGAGAACTCCTAAGTCTCTGACAGATGTGTTGGGATGGAGCAACTGGCCGTCCAAGATGTATGATCGAGTGGCTGGACGTCTGGTGATACTGATGAACTCCGACTTGCTTGCGTTAATAGGGAGTTGCATTTCAGTGGATCACGTTGACAGTCGCTCTAAGTCATGCTGGAGGCGAGCGCAGTCGTCCTGGTTTTCAATGATCCTCCAGATTTTCAAATCATCTGCAAACAGGACACATGGTGACTGGAGCTGCTGCGGAAGATCGTTGATATGAATAAGAAATAATGCTGGCCCAAGTACAGTTCCTTGAGGCACGCCACTGGTCGATGGGAACCATTCTGTCAGATAGTCATTGACCTGTACTCTAAACCTTCGTCCCACAATAAACTCTTGTATCCACAGAAGTAACGTGCCACCGATTCCGTATGTCCTCAGTTTACGAAGGAGTACCTCGTGGTTCACTTTGTCAAACACCTTACTAAAGTCGATGTACACCACGTCAACATCCTTCTGTTCATTGAGAGCTCGAACCCACTGGTGGTTTGCGTACATCAAGTTGGTGATGCAGGATCGCCCTTTCGTAAAGCCGTGTTGCGCTGGCGTCAATATGTCCATCGATTCGAAGAACGACAGCAGACATTTTTTCACAACCTTCTCGAGAACTTTGGATAATACCGAAGTCAAACAGATCGGTCTATAGTTCTCTATTTTACTCGGATCACCACCCTTGGGAAGCGGTTTAACTATGGAGCATTTCCAGTCGTTCGGGACGGATCCTTCAGAGAGCGATCTATTGAAAAGGTTTGTCACAACTGGTGAGATGATAATCGATAGGGACTTGAGTATTAGTGGGTGAAGTCCGTCTGGCCCGGGGGGCTTTGCACCATTGAGGTTGACGAGTAGCTGATGTACTTCGACTGCATCACATTGTAGGCTGTTGAGAAAGACTGGCGCAACCTGTGCTGGTACTGGAACAGCCGCCGGTTTACTGGAAAATACAGTGAGAAAGTGCGTAGCCAGGGCGTCCGCGCGCTCCGCGCTTGAAATGAGTGTCTTCCCGTCTAAGCTCTCTAAGACCGGTAGGTCGTCTCCAGGTTTCAGTTGACGTTTCAAGTAGGCAAATATTCGCTTGGGTGCAGTTGCGGCCGAGGATGCTAGTTCCTCTTCGAACTGCTGGCGTTTCTTGATCTTTGCGGCGTTACATAAGTTACGCTGTTTCTTGTACACCGCGTAATCTTCATCACAACCCGAGCTGGTGTATTTATCCCAAAGTTTACGACGTCGTCGCGCTAACTGTCTGTATTCCCTATCAAACCAATGCGGTTTGACAGGTCCGATTTTTGGATACTTAAGGTGAACGAACCGAGTACACAGCGAGTTAAGCTTTCCCTTTATTAATGACCACCACGCCTCAAGTGACGCATCATGTGGTAGTGTCCAATCAGTATGACTTGCGGCTTGGACAAGTCCGTTGAAGTCCGTCTTCCAATAGTTGAATGTCGGCTTCTGTGGATTGTAATATGGTAACGACAGTTCTAAGCTTGCTACAATAGTGCAGTGGTCACTGTTCGCCAGAGGTTCGATGACTCTGATCTCTTTTAGCTTTTGCTCGCAGCTCGTAAACATTAGGTCCAGACAAGATGCCGAGTACGGAGTTACGCGCGTCGGTTGGATGACATGTTGCGTTGCCCCAATTTCAATAGTCATTTTAGCGAATTGAGCCTCAACGTTGCCATGACCGGGAAGAAGTCGAACATCTGGCCAAATTATCTTAGGTAAATTTAGGTCCCCCATCAGTAAGAACTGAGGGCGGCTCATGTGCTTCTGTACATGTGGTATCCAATCGCAGCAACGGTTTAATGGGCTCCGGTAGATAACCCCCACAATTAGTTCTGCGCGCCTGAGACGGATTGTGCACCACAATTGCTCGCATAAACTATCCTCGCTCCGATAGGTACTGATACGTTTGCCAGATAGTGACGATTTTATGTACAACAGAACACCACCGTGAGCCTTTGATTTTCGGTCACATCGGAAACAAGTGTATCCTGACAACACGACTTCTTGGGGTATGATGTCGGAGTTCAACCATGTCTCTGCAAGTCCTAAAATGTCCGGCCGCTCCGAGACAGCGAAGCGGCACAGTTCGTCACGTTTGTTCATTAGGCTGCACACGTTGGCGAATGCGACACGGAGGTCCTGGGAGGTACTGCGGGACGTGCCTGGAGGTTGAGCAACCGATTGATACGGGTTCGTACACCCTTCTTGATCACCCGAAAATTTACAACTTGTAAGTCAGTCTCACCTTCCTCTGTACGGCGTTTGAGCTCAATGACCGCAGTCTTCAAACGATCCCTGTCCTCGGGTTCCAAATCTCGGCGGATGTGAACTTTTATGCCTTTCAGCCTTGACAGACGAGACAGTATGAGCTGCGGCATATTAGGATTTGCAAAGGTGATCCTCAGAGGTCGACATGACTGGTTAGTTTTCTGGCCAAGTCGGATTACTTGTTTAATCGTCACACTGTCCTCGCCCACATCCAAGAGTCTGTCGATGAGCCCCTGGAGGAACTCAACATCGTGATCATAACGTATCTGAGGGTTTTCATCTTTTGACTCCGGTACGTGGAAGACCATGAGATTATGACGCCTCAGCGAAATCAGTGATGAACCTGTGGGAGCAGAACTAGAGGCGCTTAACTGATTGGGTAGTTGTTTATCAGCAGGTGACGTCTGAACTCGATTACGTGGGCCCTTGCGCTTCTGAGTGGTCCATGGATCCTCGGTGTTCAGCAGTTCACAGACAGGCTCTGAGAAATTCACGGACCGATCAGTGAAGCGGCATTTCGTAGCTTCTGAGTCTGAGTCTTCCATCGGTGGGAAACATTGAACCTGGGGTTCGGCCGGGGTCGAAGACGCTGGTGGTGGTGCAGATCGCGGAGAGACAATAGAAGGCGAGGTGACAGAGGTACTTTCACGAGGGCGTTTGATCCCACGTGGTGAACGGTTTGTTCCTATCTGAAAGAGAGATTTTTCCGTAGTTGTTTGCGGTCGCTGCGTATTCTGATGTCTTGTACCGCGACATTTATCACATATAACTTGAAAAAACCGATGTCGGATGTCGAGCGATTTTCGAAACACGTCAACGGATAAACCAATGCACGAAATATGGAACAAAACATCACAGCTGTAGCATCGAAGTGCATGAGCCTTATTTCCCACAACTTTCGAACACGAACCACAAGTAGCTTGAGACGGCATCACAAGCTAGAGCAAATCTAAGATGGCGGACAGAGATGGTAGTATGGCAAATCAGTGAGATCTCCGGAATTAGCCAAAGAATAGCTCCCAAATTTGCACCGCTCGGAAAATACGCCAAAAGAAGAATAATGGTGCACAATTCACACAGATAAAACGCTGCAAACACAGTAATCTGAGGTAAAAGTAGTATCCAGCACACGTTGATCCAAAAATCCGCGGCTTCCGTTGGTGAACTCCATCTCTGTGGGGCGTTTGCTGCCTTTCGTAATTTGAAAACGTGGCCAACCCCTTCGTCGAAAGTACTTCGGCAATACTCTCCCTTCGTGTTGCATAAGGTTACGCTTGGTACCGCACCTATGCTAACCTTGCAGGTCACACTAAAACAGGAATGACAGGTGCGCACGTGTGCTATAATCATAATGACGAACGAAACTTAGCAACAGCTATTTAGCTGATTGTTACACACCACTTGAGTACGTTTATTGATGTATACAGTAGCAACTAGCCTACACCTGTTAATGATTAAACACCTTGTAGGTCATCGCTATCATGGCTTTGGTGTTGCGCCTTGTGTCAGTAGCATTGACTTCAATTTCTCGGAATAGCACAGCCTTATTCTCTAGGCATCAGAATGGGCATCATATGCACGGGATTGATGGGCTGCTTGTTGTTTTCTGCTTATACTTCCAATGCTCTTTTGAGTTGCTTTCGTGTCCTACTTCTTACTGCTAGCGGCATGTTCTTTATCGGGTTGAATTCAGGCAACGCCAACAAACCAAATATCATATGGACTTTATTGGCTCCCATTTGTTTGTTTGTCGGCCGATGGCCGGGTGGTCTGCACGCTTGACTTGCAATCATAAGGTCACCGGTTCGAATGCGTGTAGAGGCGGGCGTCCTAGCGTTGTACTCAGCCCATGCGCTACTAGTATTGGTCGCGCGGCAGCGAAGCGCCGTTATGGCGCACAGCTGACATTATTATTTTTTTTATTCAACCTGCATTTCAAGCATACGCCTTCATCATCTTCGTACTAACAACAGAAATAATCTTTCTTTAGAGAAGTTACGATGCAGTCATTTTTGTACCGTCCAACGCATGTTTTTCTGCACCAGTGAACTCCATTATTCTCTTTCATTCATTGATGCCACTTTAGGCTGTGAACATACCAACGGTAGTACATCTTTAGTGCCAGTTTGAATTTTGCCACTCTTATTTCCTCGGTTACAATTTTCATTATTCAACTATTACGTTGCTTTTACTTTTTAACTATTTTTCTAGCACCTATCGGTGGTTGATAACTGCTTGGAGGCCATTGTCCATCAACTTCTCCTGTTTCTAGTGATTGATTCGGAGCTAGACGGCACTGAACATGGAGATATGTTATACAAAATGTTGTATGACGCAATATCTGAAGGTAATCTTTTTGCACTACTCTTTTGCTCTTGTCTATCGTCATTAATGTACTAAGCTAGTCGTTACAGTATGCCAGCCATCTACTCCCGCTGTTTCGAACGCATGCTTCCTCCTTGTTACACCATGTTTGTTTTCAGACACATAGTTATCTTCTTACTTGGAGAAGTCAACTGCACGTATGTTTGCTACTAACGTCATTTTTTTCTTTCAGTCGTCACTGTATGCAAATAGATCTTTCCTACTAGTGAATGATGACCATGCGCCCACTGTAAATCACTTCTCGGTCGGAATTACTTTTTGCCTCACCTACCACTCGCCCTTTAGCATTTTCGCAACTCTTTTGAATAGCACTGGCGATGCTGTTGATTTGGATTTCGCACTTTATACAATACCCAACGTCACACTTGCCAGCTATTACTTGCTGGCTCAACATTTCGAATCTGTCTCCCGCGTCGTGTAAAAATTACACTTAGCGACGGTCACCTTGTTTTTAACTGTTCCATTAGTACATATCCCTACTCATTGCACAACTCGGGGTGTAAGTAATGTGCTCTGATGATTGAAGTGAGCCTTTACTCTCTTGGTTAGTGTACGCCTCTTCGTCTGATGTTCGCACATCTTAATGTACCGGGGTACCGGGGTACCGATGCTATGATTGCGGTATCTAATATTTACCTGCCACCACCCATTACACGACGTACCTACTAGCTGTCGATGGTGCACTTTTTGTAGCAATTGTTGAGCCACGGTCAAACGAACCCCACTGTTTTTGGCTGCATTTGTTCAGCGGACCCTCGCTGTAACTTTACTGTGGCCTTTTATTGAGTTACTGTTCGTTCTATGTTTAAGACCACTTTTCACATAGCATCCATGTGGAATTCTTCTAACGCAACGCACAAGGTGCATATCTCTTAGTTTTCGTCCATTCTACTCTACAAATGGGCTCATATCGTATGCACACTGTTAGCTGTTTGTGACGGTGTTGTTGACTAGACGTAGGCGTCTTAGTTCTGCATCTTTGCTTAGAGCATTACACTTTTACGCTAGATTCCTGTTCTCTCTTATTATTTTTCTTTCCCTAGTCATTGTACGTCAGCGAATCACCATTTCAAGTGGCCTATGTACTGCTATTGTTGATGTTGATGATGATGCGTTATCCAGTATGGAATACAGACGTACTTTGATTTTTGTATGGCTCTGCAGCAATTTTGCACCAGATAGAATCTTTTAACCCTTAATGCATTTGAGAAATGTGACAGTTTCGTTATCGTAAATTTTTCTCTTTTTACAGACGATGCGGACTACGTCAGCTCCATGGAATTGTTATTTACAAAAGTTATGACACAATTTGAACAAGATGCCCTCAGCGGAGTGGATCCATCATGCGCATGTCCGGCTCACAAACTGAAGGCCATACGCCCCTTGATCACCGGTCTCGCAGAGGGACTCCGTAGCCTTCATTTAGCCCTCGACCCATCGACTTTTCCAAACCCCGTGCACCCTGAGCAGCTCGTCAAACCAAAGGAGCGGCTATTGTTTTGTCCCAAACGCAAGCCCTTTATGAAACTGGCTCTTTGGTACTCGCGTTTTGCAGTAACCACTCAGGTGCACCTTCAGATGTCAATACTTGTCGTGATGTCATCCGTTTCGCTTTACGCCTTCCCTAATTGGCGGCATTCAAAGACAGGATAGTTAACTTTAGTCTGTGCTTATCCTTTTATTATGTTGCTTATTTATCAATCTTTCTGTTCTCATTCCATCCATGACACTACGGATTTCAAGCATTTGCAAACTTGCACCTCAGATCCAGCCACCGCTTTCCACAATCCTACCCAGAGACTGTGAGCTACCTTACATGAGACTAAACTAGCCCCTACTATCTAGGCATGTGTACCTGATCTCGGGTGCTGCTAGTAGCACCTGCCGCCAGGTTATACACCTTTGATCTTGATTTGCCCCGCTGCTGCGCTTCGCTGTTCACGGCCCATTCGCTCCTTGTACGTTGTGACACTGATCAGTGTGTACTTTGGCCACTTGTTACTTCATCTTGATCTGCTTAACGAACAGTTCCCATGTCTCCACACTACGATAACAAAAACAACAACAACAGCAGTACATCAACAATTTGAACTGATGCTTCGCTGCCATACAACCACGAGGATCTATGAAATAAAGAATAATAAGAGGGGGACAAGGGGCACTTACCTGAAAACCTTAATGCCCTTAACAAACATTCAAGACGCCTACACCTTGTGTAGATAACATACCGTCACAAACAGTTGCCTATGGTGCAAAGATAAGGCGGCATCGGCGTGACAGCTTCCTTGCGGCTTTCACTGCCACGCGTCATAATCAGCCATTACTCCGCAGCTAACTCAGCACTCAACACACTTTAAACAGGCAATCCAATTAGGAGACTGCAGCAGACGCGCCGCTGTTGTCGTTTATGAGCCATGTCCTGTAAAATCTCGAGCCAATCACAAGGCGAGTAACGTGGACTTCAACCTGGAAGACGAGACGGACCGACGACACCAGTTTAGCCGTCATTGACTTTATTTCCCGCTGCTAACTTAACTTTTTCCCACCAAAAGCTTTGTGCCACCCTACATCTGGCAGACAAAACAAGGCCCTCCAAGCATACCTAACACGTGCCCAAGCCAGCGCAACTTATTCAGTGCTATCTGTTGTTCTAAGAAGCTAGTATGATTATCACTACCTCGTACTCGCCTACGTACATCATCATTACGGACACGCTAGTGCCATCGGACACCAGCAATGCTTCACAGACAACGATTATCAAAGACTTGAAGGCGCCTCAAATGTTCCGACCGAAGGAGCCAATCCCCTCTACCGTAGAGCAGAATGGCCCTAACTATGGCATTGTATACACGATCTTTCAGATGGAGAGAAACCCTTCTTTCGACATAGATGCCGCAGGTTCAAGAAGGCAGTTCTGGCCTTTGCAATGCGTGAACTGACTTCATTTTTTATGCGGCCATCTTTGCTGGTACAGCTGCCTAAGTGAATTTATCTACCACCTCGAGTTCCTCGTTAGCAAGGATCAAGGGATCATCTAGTGGGTGGTGCTCCTGCAGCACCATTTTGAATTTTGAGGGTGCGAAGCACATACCAGCTAATGGGACCACACTAGACAGGCTATTCAGGATTGATTGTGTCGCCGCATCATCGTTAAACATCAAGACAATATCGTTCGCATAATCAAGAGCAACTAGGCTTTCACCATGCAGGATCAACGTTAGCATCTTGAGGCTCTGTAGAGAAACACTCCATGATAGAATCCACGACGAAATTGAACAAAAATGGGGAAATGGGACAAACCTGACGAACGCCACTTGTGGTCGGAAGACTGTCCGACGGGTCACCGTGGACTCTGACGTGGCCTGTAGTGTACGAGTATAGATCACGTAGGATGTTCACATATTTCGTGGGAACACCTTTCTGCGCAAGTATTTCGAACAGAGTACATCGATCGACTGAATCAAACGCACTCTTGAAGTCGAGGAACACAGCTGTTATCGGTCTGCGGTATGCGTGGCACTGCTCTAGTACCTACCGCAGAGTGAAGCTATGGTCCATACAGCCACGTTCTGGGCGGAAACCGGCCTGCTCTTCCCTAATCCGAGATTCCCGTTCCGCAGTGAGGCGACGAACGAGAATTTTGGCTAGCGATTTTGTCACAACTGGCGTTAGGCTAGTACCGCTGTGGTTAGCACAGTCGGTGCGACTGCCCTCCTTGTATATTACCAATATAATCGACTCTCTACTGTTAGCCGGGACACACTTCCTTCCAAATATGTTCGAATAGGGAGGTCAGTGCTTTGCAGAGGACCTCACCTCCATCCTTAAATAGTGCAGGTGGGAGGGAATTCGGGGCTAACAGCACGTTATCGCGTTTCGGACCTCGGTCTCCGACCGAGGTTTTAAACTAACCGTCCATGGCTCGTCCTGTATCAACTGAGTAGGAAGAGCTCCGGAAAAAGGGGGCCAGCTGAATTGATCTTGGAAGTGTTCTGCCAAATGAGCCATGCGGCGATCCTTATTGTGTATCAGTGCACCTGCGCTGTCTCTGATTGTCTCACTGATGCCTGGTTTTCTGCAACCAGTGGTGCGAATCAGTTAGAAGAGCTTGTGGTAATTGCCTACTACTCCCGCATCTTCTATTTCTTGAGCCCGACTGGTCCACCAGCCTTCCTTTTCTGCACGTAGGCTCCGCTTTAGTTTGCGCCTATTGGCCCGTCTGGTCACATTGTGCTCAGAGCCAGCCAGGAGGTTTCTTCTGGATTCCAACAAGTTCACCGACCTCTCTGATATCCAGTGACTGGTGCGGTGCCGAATGACATTAACGCAATCAGATGCTCATACGTCTTGCATGGCAGCCGAGATCCTATGCCACTGAAGCTCAGTGTCATTACGACAAGGCAGCGCAAGTTCGGCGTCTTGATAGGCTTGTCTGTCCGATTGCTGAGGTAAGTTCTTAATTGCCAATCGGGGGTGACGTTTGGTGCGCTTCCCGATAAAGTTCATGTATAAATGACAACGTACCAAGGCATGATCAGTCGACGCAGGTATTTCAGAATGAGCGGCCACCCAGGATGGAACCACTCCACCTGTGTATTATGACAATTTGATCAGTTTGGGTCCATCGCTGGCCAGCTACAGGAGGACGCCAAGTTGCACTTCGGCGCCCACTGTGTCTAATAACAGTGCTACTAAGAAATAACTGGTGCTCATCACACAGTTGCAGCAGACGCCGGTCGTTGTCCGTCCGTTCGGAGTTAAACCCATTCCTACCACCCAGCTGAGCTTCTGAAGAGCTCAGACGCCCTGCTTATGTGTCCATATCCCCTGCAAGTATTATGACATCTGTTCAGTTCGTGATAGAATATGTCTTTGACTGCATTAGAACTGCAGTCGGTGGGAACATAAACGGATATCACAAACACAGTGTTTTGTACTACTACGTGAATCAACCTCCCCACTGCAGGGCAACACTAATCGTGCCAAAGTGTTCTGCACACTTCTCTGGACTGCCGAGTTTAGTACCCGCCACTTCCATAATTGTCTCGTACTTGAGAGCGTCACGGGCCTTGGCATTGCCCTACCCACTTCACTCTAGTCATATTTGTTTTCACACATGCTCTACCTAGTCCGTCTTTCTTCGTGTTTTCCTCGTTGCTCGGTCTTCGGTACCGCTTGAAACAGTCTTGTTTGTTCCTTTTCCGTTCTCTCTTTACTACTCCGTGGAACGATGGCATCGAACTGTGATTTTATTTCACCTTCCTCAGCCCTTTTTTCGCCTGAGCAATGTTACTTCTAGGTGCGTAATCCATTTTTCTTATATCTACCGGACAATACCTCTTTCGTCTAGCGTGGAAGGACAGAGCACCACCCAAATTAACGAACTCGAATCGGTGCCTTTGTGTAACAGCTGTTAAAATCTGAACTTTGCCTTTAATCCCTGAAATTCTAATAGGCGACATTGCACGACCAATGATAGAGGGATTCAGGCGCTCGAATTGTAATTCATGGATCTCCAATTCTATCCTGCGCGCACGTGAATGGTCTCGTAGTATCCTGACTCGCATACTGTCTGGTGGTTCTGCGACATTGAGGCGTCACTATGAGATCCCGTACTGCTGTTGGTGCCTTTCCTTTGTCAGGGATAGATGTTCTCAGACCAGCCTATAGCTGTGAATTTTGCAAGCGCTTTCCTAGTACTTATGTGCTTCTTTCATCCGCATATTGATTTCTGGCCCAAAATTCTGCTTTGAACTTTTCTCCAGATGCTCTTGGAAGCTTCATTTCCGGAAATTTCTGCATCGAGGCCACATCGCGGATTCGAGTTTGAGGCAGGTGTCCTTGGTCGTCTTCTTGTTCCCAGCCATCTGCAGATGCCCCAATCGCCTGAGACCACATTTCTCACCCAGCGTTCACACCAAAATGTCCTCGGCGAATTTTTCACCGAAGAAGTCCCTCTCAGACCAGTAATTGAGGCGGATCAACGAACTATTTGGCAGGTGATTATAACCTTCTTGTCTACCCACCGTGCTTTTACCATGGGTTTGCTCTTTTGCCTTCCCGTTATTATGCGCAGAGTAAATTCCACTGAGTTTCGTTGCTTGGAGTGTAAAGTAGTGGTGCGCGAGCATCAGCCACCTGACTCTTGATCGCGAGGAAGCAGTTGTTTTATCACATTATTTTGTCAATTATATTGGCAGCGATCAGCGCTTGACCTTATTCGTATGTTGCGATAGCTAAGAATGTTTTCCTTAGTCCGCGACACCCCTGGCACAAAAACATCATCCTCGGTTTGGTGGGCGTGTACATAGAAACATGATGACGGCCATTCTGTTCCATTGGAGTGTGACTTGGCTCCAACAATCAGAGGTGCATACAAACCTTTAGGCATCATTGCCTATCGGATGACACCAGCCTATCTACGTCAGGGATGTACCCAGCCTAGTACTAGTTGGTGGTAATGAGATTACTTCTTTAGAAAAACAATTAACGCCTCTTACCTGCGCCCTATAACCGTCACTTGAGCAAGGCCTTCTTTTGTCCCACACGAGTCTCGAGAAATGAAATCACTGGCGATTAAGCTTGGGGGTGTTGGCCCGTCTCGCCCTGGGGACGGTACTTTACGCAGCTTACCTTATTCTTGGCCGGAAACTCCAGAACGTGGCCTGCATCCGACATTAAAGACACGTGTGCTGCCATCTAGTCGGATTGCCTGTTTAAATTGCATATGATGCTGAGGTATCTGTGAACAGGAAAAGCCGCAGAGAACTTGTCGATGCCGCCTTAACTCCGCACAGTGGCTAGCTGTTTGTGACCGTATGTTGTTGATCAGCTGTAGGTGCCTTGACCCTGAATGTTTACTCAAGGCGTTTAGGTGTTACACTAGGTCTCCCTTCTGTCATTCTTTATTCTCTAGATGATTGTGGTTATGCGGCATTGATGCGTCCTTTTGCGTTGTTAAACTACTGCTGTCGCCGATGATTTGCCTGGAGTAGAATTGACCTAGGTTGAGTACATTATCCGCAACTCCCTCCTGGGTAGGTTCGAGCTCCCATCTTTCTGACAGCTTTCCGGAGAATTCGATTCCTTTAGATCTTCCTTGTTTCTCCTTAAGCATTCATCCCCTTCTCCCTATTCTAATTGTCTTAGTATTTGTACCCGCCTAGAACTGAACGTTTTTCATGTTTCCGCTTATAAGCATCGACCGGCTTATATCCACCCTAGCTGATTGTTTCTGCCAATTGCTTCAGAGGTGGTTTAGACGATGAACTTGACACGAATACACACACGAGTGCATTACAAAACATTACTGTCGCTTATTTTTCTATAATTCTTACGAAATTTGTTCCATCTGATGCAATCCACATTTGGTGCAATTAATTGTGCTTACACTACTCTGCTGCGCACGGCGTGTAGGAAATGCGCCTTATCTCCATTCGGATAAATCGCGCAGTCGAGGAATTAGGAAAGAATTTCAACAATGTGAAATCTCAGCTATTGAACGGCAAAGAAACGAAGTGATCATTTTTGGCACCAATGTAGGCTGATGTTCTTTTGATCTATAGCTCTCCAGCTGGGACCGCGCTGATATGTGGTCGACTAGGTCGATTTACAAGCGTCCACTAGATAATGAGAGGAGATGAACAAGCAGTAGAAGATACTGACGACCTTCAAAAATTATCTCCTCGTGAATGAGATCGGGAGCTATACATATATAACCCATGAGTTGTCAAGATTTTCCAGCCATCCGCATTACATTGCCTCTGCCGTTATACAGACCACTGACATGTATGGAAGTCATAGAGTGTTAGTCATCCTACTCAGGATCATTGAGGTGAATCGCAGTGCGTGGAAGTGTTTACAGGTACGTTCTGTCAGTTTCACGTTGCATCTGTTTTTATCCAACCAGTTTCAATTACCAAGGTCGGTGGTATCCTGAACCCGTTGCGTCTGTCGTATCAGTGCCAGCTGAATATAATTCGCTTCTTTTGGTTTAACGGTTAATATCTAGACGTTGAGCAAAATTTATTGTAATTACTTATGGCGGATTGAATTGATCTACCTTCCTCAATTTGCTCTGGTTGGTCCTTTTGCCGTTTTTCCATGTGTCCGCCGATGTAGCATTTTGATCTCCCTGGCCGATCTGCTATTCCTTTCATCTAAACTCCTGGAAGATACTATTGTTGCTTACTCTGTTTCAACGCGTTTTTCAAAGTATCTTTTTGTGCATTTATTCTTCTCTTAACAGCTCACCGAACAGCTGGATGCGGAACTGCACGAGTTGCTAGTGAACATGCTAAGGGTCGGCAAACAGCGACCGTACATGAAAACGCTGCTCTTTAGCTGGCTCGGATCCTGCATCTCAGCTAACAAAGGTGAGCGCGCTTTTTGTGCCAATCTGTACTAATTTTCTGTTCGCGCTCCTCCATCGACCACGAATATTTTGGACACATATAGACTGACTTTTCTATACAAAAGTTGGGTATATTTCTCGACGGGCAAGATACGTTCCTTTTTGTTGAACGATCGTTTGTGCAGCGAGTTTCATCAGCATTCCATTAATGAGCTTCCTCCACTCAGTATGGATAAGTGGTACGATGTTTTGTTGTATATGTGATAAATAACATTATTGGAAAGCTAGTTTCGTGAAATGTTTTTAGGGGATGATTCCATGAGTGCAATCGTAGATTACTGAAGTTCGAAAAGTTTTTGACCACATCTGGTATGAAAACGAGTTTTTTTTACAACGAGATCTAACTATAGACAGCCTCTTGCTGCTCCTTAATTGCAACGGTAGTTTATTCCACAGATGAGCGTACCTCACCGAGAGGAAATGTAGGTTGATATTTTTCTTACTCCTCTGTAAAATAGTAGACATTTCTCATTACGAGTGACAGGTCGAGCCATTATGTAAAGCGACGGGTATACTGATTGAGAAAACTCGGGAGTGTACTGTAGAGAAGTATGATATTGCTTTTCATTCGTCAAAGCCAGAGTGGATCACGCTGGAGTTAAGAACATTGTTCCTCGTAAGTGAGCGTCGATGAGCAGCACCCCATGATTATTTTGGTGCATGAGCGCTTGCACTTCAAGCAGCGCCATCTCTAGACAAGCGCAGTGAGAATGTGCCACCATCATCATATACGGGGGGGGGGGCGCAGAGTGAGCACATAGCCCGGATCTGGCATGCGCGTTTTTGTTAAACAGCAGATGTCGATTGATATGGTCTTTAGTGTTGTCCAATCTGCTACAAAATGTACACCTTGAGAGATGCCAGTCTTAGCGAGGATCTAGGGCTCTAAATAGAAACGGGTAAACTGACGCTGTCCGCTTGGCTAGACATAGACTTTTCGGCTGGGCCGTAGCGGCGCCCTGCGATTTCCTGCGAGTCGAAGCTAGAAGTTATCAAGGCGGGGAGTGGAGGCTCAAGCATTGGGCGTTTGGAAACATAGAGGTAAATGTAAAGTTGAATTGGGACAATGAGGCTAAAATGCGTAAGAGGGGGAAATCAGAAGGTGGAATGGCGTGAGAAGAAGCATCCCCATCCACTCTACTCGGTGCAGCAGGTGGGACTCCATTGATCGTCTTCTGCAATAGCAATGTATCAAGAACTGGTCCTCTGAGAGGTTACTTGTGCTGACCACATGCTGTCAGATTTCCGTGACTTAAACTGGAATACGATTTGGCTCTTCAGCTGCGGCCTATGATTAAAAAAAGCCCCAATCCTGAGAGCGAAATCTTGGCACTGAGCTCCACAGCGTCCTGTTTTGGAAACAGGAAGCCACTCTCACTGCAACCCCCCTACAACTTGGACAGATTAGCACCGGTTGTCAGTCGTTTTTGGCTCTACTTTTCCCACTCGGATGCAGTCTTTCTCCAAGATTTGCAGGGGCGCACCCCTGTGCTGACCCTTGGTGGTGATCAGCCAGAAGTCGTTCAGGAATTCAAGTACCTGGGCAGCTATATTAGCGCCCGTGAGATTGAACCGCATAGCAAAAGTTCGAGGTGCCTTGCCAATCTCCACCACCTGTGTCACCCACGCGACATCACGCCCTGAGAGGCAGAGTTTACAATGCAGCTGTCCGTTCAACCCTCCTATGCGGTTGTGAAACCTGGCCCATCAGGTCGACAGACTTAAAGAGGCTCGTCACATTCGATCATCGCTGCTTTCGCAGCTTAGTTCACATCTGGTGGGAGCACCGCGTAAGCAATGAGCGTGTTCAGCGTCGCGTATTTTGTGCAGGAAGATCTAGTGAACCGCTCAGCACTATTATATCACGCACCAGGCTCCGATGGCTGGGTCAGGTGATGCACATGCCAGTACACCGACTCCCGCGACGTGCCTTGTTTGCGCACCGAGGGTGTGGATGGAAGAAGAGTAGGAGGTCCAAGCAATCACTTGGTCAAGGGGTATGAAGACCCTCACTTTGAGCTTGTCGTCGGTCGGTGCATCCCGACTACCTAGCTTGGCTCCGAAGAACGATGAACTCATTTGGTTAGCTACACTAGTCGACATGGCGAAGAGCCGGCTCCAATCGCGTTTGTGTTGTTTTTCGTGTTGAAAGAAAACTAGGCTCCTGGAACCGACAACTTTACTTCTGCTGAAATATGGTGGCAGCTCTTTGTTGACTGGACTCCCTTCTCTGTTTATTACGATTTGAAACATTGAATAGGTGCCTTCCGACTGTCAGCTTTCGTGTCCATCTTCAAGAAGGGTCAGTGTACTTTTGCGAAAATCGTCAAAGCATTAACGTTTCCGTTGCCCCCAAACTTAGCACACTCCCCTTGAGGACCTAATCATTAAAACCACACTGGCTTCCGCTCTGGTCGTGGTCGTATCGACCAAATACAGGGTGGCGCACGAAATGTCATACTATTTGTTTTGTTCATTACGCATGTATTTCGCATCAAAATACTACAGATTAGTGCAGAATTCAATGTATTATGTGTTCATTGTGATCACCATTTTGTTTCACAACCTCTTGCAAGCGAACCTTTACATTTGTCACAACTTTCCCATGAAATTCTTCCGAAATTACACGACACTACTGCATGATGAGAGCCCTGAGTTGAGCGGCGCTCGCAGGCTTCCTTGCGAAGCCATTCTCTTTCATGTAGCCCCTCAAGAAGAACTCAAAAGAATTGATGTCAGGACTATGCGGGGGCCACTGCCTCCCACTTTGGTGACGCGCAGGAAACCGATGTGACAGTACCCGCCCATCAGACATGTCATATAGCTAATCAAGAACAACATATGTAGTGTGTGAGCGGGATCCGTCTTGCATGAACCCTTGAGTTTGTAATGGGAGACCTGTTGCCAAAGTTCTAGAATAAATCTGCCTTCCAACATGTCCTTATATCGATCTTTGTTTACCGTCTCATTAAAGGAAAAGGGTCCAATGATTCCATGGGATTAAGTTTCTATCCACACACTGATTTCCAAGCTACCGCATGTAATGTGGTTGTTAAACTGCTGGTATGCGACCCGACGGGAGTTCTTCAAACGCATCTTCTGTTAATATTCCAAATAGATTAATTCTACGCACATCTTTATTCACTCGCTTTGTTCTACCTAATTTTCTCATCATTGCTAGTCATTGTTATCCTGGCAACACGAGTAGCCGCAGCTGAATCCACCGCATTTCGATGTCCGGGTCATAGATCTTTGAGTAAACTACTTCATCTCAAGCAAAAGGCTTTCAAACGTCTTCAGAGCCACGGACGTGCAAGCAACTGGCTAATAGTTGCATATTCCTTGCTTTGGCACCGGCCTCATGCTAGCGCGTTATCAACAGTCAGGTACTTTGTGTTTCTTATTGCGCAGCGCGTATAGGTCGACGAATGGCGGCCGGAGACAGTTTGTCCGAACAGAATGTCTTGCTCTATTGTAAACTGATAATTTCCCTGTGTACTTCTAGGCTATCCACAAAAGATAAGCAATCTGAGGGCCGTTGCAACTCAATGGATGATGAGTCAGCCTGAAGTATTGTCCCAGTAGTAAAAACATGGTTTAATTCTTACACATCCGGAATAAAATGCGTCACCTTACGGCCGACTCCGCCTACCTGTTCTAGAATTTGCTATATTTCTCAGTAATTGTTGCTTCCTAACATGGTTTGTAAATTTTGTTGAAACCACGCAGTTACTTCGTAAAAACACGTAATGCTTTCAAATTATCACCACTTTAAAGCGATACGTCACTACATACAGAAAGAATAATTAACGAGTTTAAACAAAAGATTCCCGATATAGTGCCGAAAGTACGCGTGTTAGTAAATTCTTTGAGCAGGAATTAGAGAGCCCGGCCCGATTTAAAGACCCGCCAGATAGAAACATCGGTCACGACTCCACAGCAGGTGACCCATCGCTTCCAATTTTATGCATCTGACCATGAAGATTCAACCCTTTCACAACTGGTCCGTTTAACTTTTTCGTTTTCCTCTGTACATTATTTCCTCGCCTGCTTTTATCAGTGCGATATGTTGTGACAACTTGACACACCACACTTTTGTTTTTTGGTAAATATCGTTAACTTCGTCAGAGGGTCATTTTTAAGCACATTTTTCAGATACATCATGTCACCTGCAACAATGGACACTAAGCACTGAAGTCAGTTCACACGTTGCACAAAACCAGTACTGCTTTCTTGCATATGCGACATGTTGGGGGACAGAAAGGAGCTTCCCGCCGTTTGAAAGACCGTGTTTACAAGACCACAGTGGGCGCCGTCCCGCTCTTTGGTTGTGTCGCTTGGCCACTTTGATCTAAATATCTGAAGCTCCTTCAAGTCTTTGATTATCGTTGTTCGCGATGCATTGCTGGTGTCGGGTGACACCAGCGTGTTCGCAACCGTGATGTGCCTAAACGAGTGCTACGCAGTGATAATCAAGCTAGTTCCTTCGAACAACAGATAGCACTGAATAAGTTGTGTTGGCTTGGGCACGTACTACTTATGCCCGGTCACCGCTTACCGAGGAGGGCCTTGTTTTATTCACCTGACGTAGGGTCGCACAAGGCTAGGGGCGGACAAAAGTTGTCTGACGATTAAACTAGGTGCTGTCGGCTCGTCTCGCCTTCCGGGCTGGAGTTCTCCTGACTCACCTTATGCTTGGCTTGAAACTTTACAGGATATAGCTAGCACTCGGCACCAGTGGCGCGTCTGCTGCCGTTTCCTAGTCGAATTGCTTGTTTATAGTGTGTTTGATTCTGAGTTATCTGCGGGGTATTGGCTAATTATGATGCGGGGCAATGAAAGCCGCAACGAAGCTGTCTCGCAGATGTCGCCTTATATTTACAGTTTTGCCAACTGTTTGTGACGTTACGTTGTTGACTAGGTGTAGGCGCCTTGACTCTGTATGCTTGCTTAAGGCATTAAGATTTTAAGTCCGCTCTCTCTCTTATTATTTTTCTTTTCGTAGCTGGTTGTGGTCGTATGGCAGGGAAACATCAGTTAAAATGTCTGATGTACTGCATTTTCTAATGATAAGCATGTCATGGAAGCAGTCTAGACGGCGATTCGTTAGGTGGTGAACATCGGTCAATTGAAATCATGCTTATCGGGGCGTGCTTCGAACCATTTGGGAATAAATATTTCTTATTTCATTTCGATCCCTGTAACTTTATCTAGAACAAATAGACGTAGAGCGTTACTCGCAACGACCGGTTTCGGACTTGTTTGCATTCATCAGGTCAGCCGGGGGCCGAAAGGACTGCACACCTGGCTTGCCATCCCTAGATCAAAGGTTCGAATCCTCATAGGGGCGGGCGTCCTCGCGGTCTAATCAGCCCACGCCCGACCGGTGATGGTTGCTTTGCAGTGAAGCTTCGTTACATTGTGCCGGCCTACTGCTGATGACCTATCAGGTAGAGATAGCAGTACAGCAATTCAATCCCGGGATTTTTGGGATGTTAGCCGAGACCCCCTAAGTCACCGATTCGCGCAGCGCTTCTCGCAACAGTCACTGGCTCATTTCTTTTGCTCTCTTTTTAACCTACCATCCCCCTTCGTTTTCCCCGGACGATTGCAAGCTTCGTCTCTTCTGCCCACACTATGTGGAGTGCCTAGTGCCTGGTAATAGTACTAGTTATATTGATAATGTTTATTATCGGGTTCACGAGACATACCCTTTTCGACGTGATCAGTATTTTTTTTACCATTGTTTCTCATGCTATCCACAGGATAGTCCAAATGTTAGCCAAATATGGAAATCCTATTTTGTATCAGTGGTGGTTCCAGTTCTCAGTTTCAAATCGGTATTGAATACAACATGACGTCTTGACGGAGAGCTCCATGTGCAGGCGGAACTATGTGTTCTCCTTTTTTGGCTATTGTGCAGTGATAAGAAAAATATTAGAACTCAAATTCGAAGTATATAATATAACGTCCAGTTTATACAAAGCATCTTTCTATGCATTTCGGCGCTTTAAAAAATGGTAGTGAAAGTCAAAAATATTTTTTTAATCTCAACCGTGACAACCAGAAGAGATTGATTAGCTGTGTATGAGGCGGATGTGTTTAGCATTATAAAACCGGCTCAGACGTTTTGTTTTAAACTATAGACTGGGCGATTTATAGGAAAGATGGTAATAGGGATGAAGATGTAGGAAACAGCGCGATTAGCTTCCCATTGCATCCTGGCATCTTTGCATGAATGTCTAACATATCCCAGCTGGGTCTAAGGTGAGCTGAGCTACTCCAATCATCCGAACCTTTGGAGTGACTCTCAATGAACTTCACGGCTATGGTCTTTAGTCGGTGTTTTGCGCCAGCTACGTTGGCTCGTTCATTTCCACTTCCATGCTTTTTCTCCTTTGTTTCAGCCCGAGGACAGCTTGCCCATGCGACAGGACTTCTGTCTGACTCGGATACCAAAGGGCTTGCAAGTGAAGGCTTTCTCAGTAATCTGGCGGCCGTCCTCGTTCGTCTCACAGGTCCTTTGGTGTATCCGCCCTCTGGCGGCCCTCCGCTAGGGAAGATTTGGCCTGTTTTCGCCACAGACTCCAATCAGCCCATTCTTCCAAGTAAGCACTCAGCTTGCTGCTCCAGATTGTCACGCATCGTTTCATTTCCAGGGGAAATTGGGGACACTGCACACCATTGTCTTTGACTAAAATTTTCTTGCATTCACAGCCTTGGCCCCTTCTTCACCCGGCATGTCGTAGATGTTAGTTCACTATCCGAGGCGAATATATACATGCCTGTACCTAATTTCCCTACTTCATAGTGAGCAGCTTATAATTCCTTCACTGGTTTTGCTGTTGTTATAGGTGTGCAGAAATACGAAGCAAGAAATTCTTTTTATGATTCCAACTAAAAATATCAGAAAACAGTATCAGTTGACGCCATAACCTCGTACATACTCATCAATCACGTACATGCGACCAATAATAGGTTCAGTAGGGACAAGCTCACTTGCGGTTTATTGCTGACAAATTGGTTGTCGCTTGGTGCACTTCACGCTACCGCAGTAGCTTAATTGTTGTTGTCAACTGTCATCGCACACATAGCGGCGGTCGCTTACGATCGCGATCAGTGGCCTCGAGAGGCTTGTGGATGTGAGATTTCATCACGCACAAGGGCCTCGAATGCTTCGTCAGGGTTGACCTGGTGATTGCCCACACAGCTCACCTTCTTGCTTCACCCGGCTGAGACCTCAATGATTCCATTTGTTTGTGCAACTACTTGGGTTACCAACTCGGGCACCCTAGTAGCTATCAATGTGTTCCGTCGTTAACGAATCATCTGAAAATATGCATTCGTGCCTATTATTGGTTGCCTGTATGTGCTTGATTTGAGTACATGAAACGAGATGCTAAAATGTATCTGATGTTGCAGCATAGAGATCGTTTTGAGGGCCAGTCATTGGTCTACTTCTACAAAAAAGCGAGACGTAGTTGAAGGCTTAGTACAGACAAGTTCTTATCACGGGTCCACTTCACTATGGTTTTGCTGTTATAGTTGGTAAACTGTCCTGCATTTTCGGCGAGTAGTCAGTTCAGTTCAGAGGAGCAACTATGGTTCGGGCACCGAAATGCGGTGGATCCAGTTGACAGGACTCACGTCGCCAGAATACTAAGAAAATGAAATCAAGACAGCAAAGTGAAGAACCAAAACGGGTGGAATAAAGATTAACAGCTGAATGCAAGTGACCGGATCATCATCATCATCAACAGCAGTACATCAACCATTTGAACTGATGCTTCGCTGTCATACAACCATGAGGACCTATGAAATAAAGAATAAGAAGAGGGAGAGAAGGGGGACTTACCTGAAAACCTTAATGCCCTAAGCAAACATTCCGGGCCAAGGCGCCTACATCTTGTGTAGACAACATACCGTCACAAACAGCTGGCTATCGTGCAAAGATAAGGGGGCATCGGCGAGACAGCTTCCTTGCGGCTTTTACTGCCACGCGTCATAATCAGCCATTACCCCGCAGATAACTCAGCACTCAACATACTTTAAACAGGCAATCCAATTAGGAGACGGCAGCAAGTGCGCCACTGGTGTCAGTTGCGAGCCATGTCCTGTAAAGTCTCGAGCCAAGCAAAAGACGAGTCACGTGGACTCCAATCCGGAAGGCGAGACGGACCAACGGCACCGAGTTTGGTTGTCAGTGACTTCATTTCCCGCTGCCAAGTCAACTTCTGTCCACCTCGAGCCTTGCGCCATCCTACACCTGGTAGACTGAAAGAGACCTAGGTAAGCGGTCACCAGTGATACGTAGTACTTGTCCAAGTCAACGCAACTTATTCAGTGCTATCTGTTGTTCTAGGGAGCTAGTATGATTATCACCACCTAGTACTCGCCTACGCACATCATCGTTGGGGATACGCTGGTGCCATCTGACACCAGCAATGCTTCGCGGACAACGCTAATCAAAGACTTGAAGGCGCCTCAGATCTTCAGACCGAAGGGGCCAAGTCTCACTTCCATAGAGCAGAACGGTCCTCACTGTGGCCTTGTATACACGATCTTTCAGACGGAGTGAAACTCCCTTCGGTCGCCAAAGATGCCGCAGGTTCATGTACGCAGCTCTGGCCTTTGCAATGCGTGAGCTCACGTCAGTTTCTATGCGCCCATCATTGCTGATGCAGCTGCCAAGATAAGTGAATTGATCAACCACCTCGAGTTCCTCGATAGCAAGCGTCAAGGGGTCATCAAGTGGTTGGTGGTCCTGCAGCAACACTTTGCACTTTGGAGGTGCGAAGTGCATACCAAATAATGGGACCACTACAGAGAGGCTATTCAAGGTCGATTGTGTCGTCGCAACATAGTCGGAAAGCAAGACAATATCGTCCGCATAATTTAGGTCAACTAACCTTTCACCAGGCAGCACTTCAACGCCTACATCGTTGGATTCCGCAAGGGAACACTCCATGATAGAATCCACGACAAAATTGAACAAAAATGGGGAAATCGGACAGCGCTGACGAACGCCCCTTGGAGTCGAAGAGCTATCCGATAGGACACCGTAGACCCTGACGCGGCCTGTAGTGTTCGAGTATAGAGCACGAAGGATGTTCAAATATTTCATGGGAACACCTTTCCGCGCAAGTATCGATCGATCGACTGAATCGAACACACTTTTGAAACCGAGGAACACAGCTGTTTTCGGTTTGCGGTATGTGTGGCGCTGCTTTAGCACCTGCCGCAAGGTGGATATATGGTCTACACAGTCACGTCCTGGACGAAAACCGGCCTGCTCTTCCCTAATCCGAGATTCCCGTTCCGCAGTGCGGCGAGGAATGAGAATTGAGGCTGGTGATTTTGTCACAACTGGCGTTAGGCTAACACCCCTGTGGTTCGCACAGTCTGCGCTACTGCACATCTTGTATAATGCCACTATAATCGATTCGCTGTAATTAGCCGGGACACTTCGTTCCGAACACGTTCGAATAGGGAGGTCAGTGCCCTGCAGACGACCTCACGTCCATCGTTAAATAGTGCAGGTGGGAGGGAATCCGAGCCAGCGGCACGAAAACGATTGAGGACTGTGATCGCGTTTCGTACCTCGGCCTCCGACGGAGGCTCTAAACTAACCTTCCATGGCTCGTTCTGCATCACCTGAGTAGGAAGAGGTACAGGAGCAGGGGGCCATCTGAACTGATCTTGAAAGTATTCCGCCCAACGATCCATACGGCACTCCTTATTGTGTATCAGCGCACCCGCGCTGTCTCTGATTGTCTCACTGACGCCTGGATTTCTGGAACTAGTGGTTCGGATTAGCTGAAAGAGTTTGCGGTAATTGCCTACTGCTCCTGCCTCCTCCATTTCTTGAGCCCCAATGGTCCACCAGGCTTCCTTGTCAGCACGTAGGCTCTGCTTTAGTTCACGCCTAATAGCCCGTCTGGTCACATTGTGTTCAGAACCAGTCGGTAGGTGTCTTTTAGATTCCAAGAGGTTCATCTACCTCTCGGATATCCAGTGACTGGTGCGGTGACGATGGATAGTGCCACAAGCAGATGCTCCTGCGTCATGAATGGCGGCCGAGATCCTATTCCACTGAAGCTCAGTGTCATTAGGACAGGACAGCAGAAGTTCGGTATGTAGTGCGTCTTGATAGGCTTGTCTGACTGAGGACTGAGACAATTTCTCCGTTGCCAATCGTACGGGACGCTTGGTGCGCCTCCCGGTAAAGTTCATGGAGAAACGATAGCGTACTAAGGCATGATCAGAGTCGACACAGGTACTCCAGTAGGAGCGGCAATCCAGGATGGAGCCGCGCCATCTGTAACTTATGGCTATGTGGTCAATTTGGGTCCATCGCTGGCCAGCTACAGGAGGACGCCAAGTGGTACTTCGGCTCCCCCTGTGTCTGAAAGCAGTGCTACTAAGAAACAACTGCTGCTCCGCACGTAGTTGCAGCAGACGCTCACCGTTGTCATTCCGTTCGGAATTAAGCCCATAATTACCACCTAGCTGAGCTTCTGAAGAGCTTATACACCCGAGTTGTGCGTTCATATCCCCTGGAAGTACTATAATATCTGAACTAGTAGCACTGCGTAGTAGGGCGTTCAGTTCCTCATAGAATGTGTCCTTAACTGCAGTCGTTGTTAACATAAGCGGAAATCACAAACAAACAGCGTTTTGTTTTACTTCGTGAATCAACCTTGGCTGCTGTCGTCAAACGGACTGCACATGAATGGCTGTTCACCGGAATCCAATCAACAAACGATGGCACAGCGTTGGAGCCTAGAATGATACCTACACCAGCTTGACCCGTGAGTGCTGCATCGGCGTCTCCGGATGCGTGCAACCAATAAAGAGAGGATAAGCCGGGTGCAGTTAATTCAATAACCCCGTTAGGGTCATTGATCTTAGTTTCGGACACTCAACACACATCAATACCCAGTGTGTCCAAGGTGCGTGCGAGTGCAGCCTGTTGATCTGTTTGTCTTAGAGTGCGGACGTTGAATGTCGCCATGGAAACGGGACAGCGAGGCCTTATAAGGGAGTTTTGCCGATAGGCGTCTGATAGGTGCTGCGGGATGGTGGCTGCAGATGGTTCTACTCCAGTAGCACTTCGGTTGGTGTCAATTAAGCTGGGAATTATAGAAGGAAGGTTAGTAATGGGGGCCGGGATGGGAGTACGAGAAAATTGTGGAAAAGAAAGAAGGGAGGCGCCAGCAGAAGCATGTTTTCGCTTATCCGCCCTTCTGTATGCATCGGTTAGGGCGACCCTTGATAATGTGCTCGACGGTCGATGCAGGATGAAGTTTATGTTTGAAGAAAATGTCATGGTTGTATGTGGGCTAAGGTACTGCCAGGGCGCCCAGACCTAGACAGGAGGACGATTAGGGCCCTCATCCAAAGCCTTTGGCTCAAAAGCCTGTCCGCAAGGCAGCGTGGAGGTCGCAATGATTTAGTTTTACAGAAATGGACGCCATCCCATTTCAAACCTCCAACCTGGAGGACCAGGAGACTGAGTTTGTCTGACCTCTCACCATTGACCAACCTGGTAGGAGTAGCTCTCAAGGTGCCCGGAGGCATCACCCAGTATAGCTCAATGGGTCAATGAGGTACACAAACCGTCGCACCACGTTAAGGTCCAGTCTCGTTGCGACGGATTTGACCGTATACAGGATAGAGATTGACTACTCGACTGCACCATGTCTGATAAGGTCTACAACCACTGGTGTGGACCATCCCGATGTCCCCATCCATGAAGATGGGAATCCAGCAATCTTACCAATTCTCACGGTCAGTTTCTTCATCCCTTTGTGCTACATCATAGACTCTCCACCTCATGCAGTGGACGTAGAAATGCACACCGAGGAAGCGTGCCAACTGCTATATGGACTACATAACCTAGCCAACGTAAGCGGTTTATGTTCACGAGTGAGGTACCACCTGACGAGTCCAAACCAGGACGAAACCGCGGTTGCGGTGTGCCAGTGTTGGGAATAGCAACACCCATCTATTTCCATACCGGAAAGTTTCTTACCAAAAACCAACTGGTGGACCTCAGCATTGCTCACCCTATGCTCCCACCGGATGTGAGCAGTACTCTTCAAGCACCGATGGTCAAACACGGCAATGCATTTAATGTCTGGCGACATCTGACCCATACATTAACACTGGCCTTATTGCAGCGTTATTCACTCTACGTTTCACTAACAAGCTGTTATTCCGCCGTTTCTATAGTTGGTTGAGCCTCTAGAAAACCACACGTGCCTTGCCAATACGCCAAGTAATTTCGTCTGTGAATTGCCCACCAAAGGTTATACAGTTACCAAAGTACGTGAACCGACCCACCACTTCCAGTGACTGTTCGTTGATAGATAAAACCGGTGGTAGCGTATCGGTCTGATCCAGCAACAGTAATTTGCACTTTGAAGATGCAAACCATATGTCAAAGCGTGCAGCGCTAGCGACAGTTTGTCCAGTAGTGTTTGCATACCACTGCGTCAAACCCAAGGAGAGCTACGTCGTCCGCATATTCATTGTTTATCAGTTGGTCATCTGACAGCATCCATTCCGGAAGAAGCAGAAAGAGTGGAGTTATTTATGATAATTTCGATCACAAAGTTGAAGAGGAACGGAGATGTAGGACAGTCCCGGGGAACCACACTTATCGTGAGGAACTCGGGAGATAGTTTCCCATAAACCCTTACACGGCTTCGGGAGTCACGGGAGAGAAACTGCATAATGCAAAGGTATTTAGCTGACACACTCTTCACTGGTAGGCAGTATCACCAGTTAGCACGATAGACAGAGTCGAATGCCGCTTTCAGGCTAGGGAAAAGCACTGTAGTCGATCATCTGTAAATGTTTCTCTCCTCCAACACTTGGCGAAGAGTATGTGGCGATGCAACCACGACCAGGGCGGAAGCCAATCTGGCTTTCAATGATTCGGTTTTTACGGGGCGCCGGCAATTAGCCTCGAGGATCACAAGCCTGCCTTGTAATCCAAGAGCGCGGGTTCGAGCCTACCTAGGGATCGGGCGACCTTCGCAGTATCCTTAGCTCACGTGCGACCGGTGGGGATTGCTCGGCAGTTAAGTGTCGGTACTGCGTACCGGCGTACTGCTGATGCCTCTCTGCCTCTTACGGATACCAGTAAGTTGTCAAATAAGGATACACTTGCGAAGTTTCGAGACATTAGAAAGAAGGCTATTGCCTCGACGATTCTCACATAAAGTGCGCCGACCCTTGTTGAAGATGAGCACGACAGTTACCAGTTTGCAAGCACCTCTTCAGTGTCCCGACTCGTCTTACATGGAGAATCAAGTCCATTCAACCACCTTTCGGCGGAGATGGAGGAAGGTCGTAGGGTCCAGGAGCTTTGTTTCATTTCGACCTTGGAGCTCACGTCGAATTTCTCCCAAGGTGGGTGGGGTGGCATCATCCCATGTTGGCTTGGTTGATACGATATTCGGTAGTGTCTTAGCTAGCCCGCTGAACCGCTCTTCAAAATTTTCCGCCTACCGGGCCAGTCGACGAGGCTGAGAATGGATCAACTGTTCATTTCTCAGCTGTCTCACTCCAAACACAAAAATCAGAAGACGTAGACTGTGAGATTACTCAGCCATTTGCAAGCTCGTTAATGACAGATCATGCAAAAAATCATAGATATACCAAACTCAGTCTTATGAGATCAATTGTTAGCCGATCGTTTCGTCTTTACTACTACGATATGTTAAGATTCTCAGTCACCTGTTTCTGCAGACTAACTGATAGCTTTCTCGGGTCCGTGTTCCGGACGAGCTGGAATATTACTCGGCTATTCCCAATAGCACTGGCTCTCTTCGTCTCACAGGCCCTTGCCGTCCAGCAACGTTCCGGGTCGTTTTGGAAACTCATTATCAGTCGTCGTGTCGGGGCGCCACGGACACGTTGGAACTCACTACCCGTTGGCGCCTGTTTCTATGCTTCAAGCATCCATTCACATGTAGTACTTCTCAAGCTGGTTGTACAACAGGTGTTAAAAGTATTCTTCATGGCACACTTGAGACGATCCCAATCAGTGTTCAGTTCACCAGCTCCATTGAACTAGTGCGCCACTTCGTCAAGGCATTGTTGAATGGCTGCTTAAACTGTGAGTCCAAGATGCAAGTAAGAAGGTTAGAAGTTGGACGTTCTTTTGAAACGGAAAGAACGACCGCCAGGCGTTCGCTCACTGAAGCATTTTCGGAATCCAGGCACGTACTCCAAATTGACCGACAGTCTTGAGCTGTTTTGTGCCATCTGTAGCTAATGGCAATTCGATTAATCTGGGTCCAGGTCATCGAGAAATTTAGTCGGCGCCAGATGACGCGGTGGGAACGTTTGTTCTGGAAAGCAGTGCCGCTAATATAGAGATTATGGTCATCGCACATCTGCAGGAATCGATCACCACTCTTCGTTCGACGTGAATGGACACCGAAGCGGCTCACCCAAGTGTCGTTTGTCTGAAACATGATCTATTGGGGTATTCATGTCATGAGAAATAATCACGATGTCAGTATTCTTTGCTGTTTAATGAAGACATGAGAGCTTTTGGTACTAATACTATTTGATACCCTCTGAACTGCATTCAGTCGGGGCATAAACTGAGGCGATGAAAAGACACCTTGTCTTCAGACGCTGCTTATTAGCTCAATTGGCAGTTCGAAGTCGAACCGCACATATGCGGCCGTTGACGACATCCATTCGAGTAGATTGTTTTTAGCTTGCTTACTGGGGGCGATACCGCAAATACCTTTAACTACTGACTCAGTATTGCCAGAGATGCGAGTAGTCATCGTCATCAAATTCAGAACTAGAGAGTCGATGATTCTTCACGACGCTGTTATCTTGTATGCATGTTTTGTAGACACAGCACTCATCAATAGCAAGAGTGTGAAGGATGAAAGTTACTGCTGCCTGCTGGCCGATCTGAGCCAGAGTTCTGACGTTTAAAGGAATCAATGTAAGATGTGACTCGTGGTTTTATGGACGAGTTGCGAGTATCGATGGCAGATGCTGCGAGGTCATTGGCAGATTCTTACTCAGTATACAGGGAAGAGAGTTGAGAAAGGAGAGAAAAATAAGGTGGGAGTGTTGTCGACGTGGTCAAGAGGGTAGATGGTACTCTCCGGTTGCCCATTCCGGAAGAGGGGTTTTGTTCGTGGTGTCCTACCTATAGTCTTTGATTCAACGATGAGTCACAGGGCAGTGAGGATTTGGTGGTTTCCTTGAGGGACTCCATCCGGATCCTTTGTCTCAATGGCCTGACCCACTTGGCAGTGGTGAGCAAGTTCAGCTCGGGAGTGTGATTGCAGAGACCCATTGGGATCTGGTTGAGACTTATCACACACAGCCTTTGGAGCTTTAGAACAATGCACGTGTTTTATGACCGCAGTATTTTACGCTCCTGATACCACGGCCAGCTGCAGGTGGCAGTTGGCAGGTTAGCACTAATTTGACCAAGGGATGCCTGGCTTTAGGCGAGCGGTGCCCTTCCACCGTCAGAAACAATGCACGTCGCTCGTGCTGGATGCCAATCGATCTGTTAGCTTATAACCCGTAAATCTATTGTCTTCTGATGCCATGTTTTAAGGAAAGTGTGCCATCGACCTCTCTCCGTGCGGTGTTTATAACCCTACTTCAGTAGATGTTTTCTGCATTCCACTTGGCTATCCACTTCTTTATACTCATGAGGCGGATTTTCACTCGCTGCCTTATTTGACTGAGCATCTAGAGACTACGCCTTAATTTCTTGAATTCGTCGGATAACGCAAATCACCTGCTTATCTCTTCGCTTTCCAGCCCTTCATGAGGACACTCGTTTGGCTTCCTCTATGTCACCCGCATGTCAACCTGGCGGTGTTGACGTTTGCATAGAAAAGCCAAGCGAATATCCACTTCTCACTGAGCTTTTCTTTCTGGCTCATTCCGCCATACGTGTGGGTTGGAATCCTTTGGTGGCTAGGCATTTTGAGACGGCCCAACAGTTGCATCAACTTGAAGCCCAATGGGAGGCGTACAATGCCTCCTCCATGTCCGTTGACTCTGATCCGCGGGGTAAGTTCCAATGTTTTTGATAGCCCTTTATGGTTTCAACTATCGTGGTTTTTAAGACAAATGTTTTTTCGGGACACATTGACTCATCTGTAAGCTCTTCTTTGGAGATGCCTTGACTCCCACGAAGTTACTCCTTTGGGCCTTGGAAATGTGTGTTCGCAATAGGTATCCATTCTTGTAACCTACTCCTATATGAACCACGATTTTTTGCTTTGTCGGTGGATATTTTTCGTTACATTGTGATCCGATATCAGGCTTTTAGGCTCCCTAACCTTTTTACACCTTAACTTATCACAATCCCTTGTTATTTCTGTTCTTGTATCCTTTGCTTCAAGATGCTCGCAATCCTCTTCCTTCGTCAACTCATCACGAATTGGTTGCCCGGGAAATCTGATAAGCGGTAAACAATTTACTGCTTGTTGGTTACTTTCGATATTGCGGCGGGGTGTACTGTCTGCAGCTGATATCCGGTGTATGCGAAGTTGTTACTACTGCTTCACTTGACCTATACTGATATCGAGGTGAAGCCTATTGGACCTAATCCTAGTGCCCATCATTTGGCGCCGAGAGCACCATGCTTTGTAGTGATTAAGGCACATATGTGTTGTCCATTTCAACGCCTACGGAACTGCCAAAATTCTCTCCTTGTTTAGTACGACCCTTGGCCCACGTTCGAAAGCTATTTACTTTACTGCTTTCCGATAATAAGCTTCCACGCATCCATCAGCCAACTATGTCACATCAATTCCCATAGGTCGGGTTGCATATCATTTGGTCTCCTTTTGGAAAAGTCTTTTTTGGCGAAATATTTGTGAACCGGTCCATTTCCCCGTTTCACACAGCATTGTTTATACGACGACTTATCCGCGAACGCACTTCTCGCTATCTGGAACAGTCGACCAGCCTTTCGTGTCAGACTCGATTACGCGACCATCTTGCGTTTGCAGTGACAACTAGTCAGCTGCTTATTAGTTTGGCTCGCACTGCTTTTGTTGGTTCTGGCGTTCCACGCACGTCCCCCACTTTTGGTGAATTGTCCGATCTACCAGAGTTCTTGGTTGACAACGTTGTGGAGTTGATCAGCTATCTCCGGAGGGCGAAGGACGATTTTCTTGAGGTTAGTTCCGCAATACAGTTTGTGCACCTTCTTCCTTTACACTATACTAATATACGTGATATCAATGACTTTCACACATGGCTGTGTATGTTGTTGATTCTACATTTACTTTCGTTTACTAGGCTTTGTTTACACCTTATAATCGTATGCCAGTTGCCGGGAGAATGAAGCACCAACTTTTACAATCCAAAGGTCACCGATTCGAGTCTACCTAGGGACATGGGATTTCGCATTATATCTAGCCTACACAAGATCTGTAGTGATCGCGTTCCGGCGTACTTCTGATGTCCATTCCTTTTCTCTACACCTTATAGTCATCGGATGTGGCGGAGATTCCACTGGAGCCATTGGTGGAATTCAGTGTGCTGTTTATGCAGCACACTCGCGCACTGGCCAATCCCCACTTGCGCGCTCGACTCGCCGAGGTCTTGGAATCCTTGATTCCAATTCGGGACGATGAGGAGTGGAACGCTCAGCGTGCCAACGGAAGTGGCAGTGCAGGGAGGCCGGGCATGCCGTTGTAAGTGATATGAAGTCTTTACGCTCATGGCTTTTCCGTTTATCAATTCTTTTTCGTAAGCGAAACAGCTACTCTGTTTTGTTTTTATGTCTTCTCGAACAAGTGGTTTCCTCCTTGTAGGTAATAGAGAGGTAAGCGGAGCCAATGTCCAGATACGAGGTCTCGCACAGGCTTACCGCTGAGCACGTGAGCTGTCTGCTGCATGCGAAGGTCACCAGCACGAGCGTGGAACGACCTTCGACTGTTTTGCCAAATTTGGGAATCGGGTACAAACTGATTGGCCAACAAATACAAGCCCGAGTTAATGGAGGCGAACCCTTCTGCCAAATATGGAAAATCCGTGGGACGGAATTAACTCACATTGGCTGAGAGCCAAACGCTTCCAAAATTAGTATGTTTCGTTCACCAATAAATAGAACTGATCTATCGTGTAGAATAGACTCCCTGTTTACCGAGCCTTGGCCTTCCGTATCCCGTCGGTTGGTTGGGTGCGTGACTGAGCAATCAGGCGGTCGTAGTCTCGCAGGCGCAGAATAGCAGCTGTGCAGCTGTAGGAAGACAACTTTATAAAAGTGGCAACAGGAGTCAGAAGAACCCAAAAATGTCAGTCAGTTTTGCGCAATTGCAGACTCTGTTGCAGCAACAGCAAGTGTAGTTTGAAAAAGCACAGGCCAAGTTGATCGAAACGCTGACCAAGAATTTGTCACTACAAGCAGGCTCGGTAACAGGAACAAGTGAACGTTGCCCCTCAGCAGAAACCTTGACCCAGCAAGTTTGTGAGTTCCGTTTCCATGCCGATACCGGTATTACCTTTGAATCGTGGTTCCATAAATACGAAGGTCTGTTTCGAGTTGATTTAGCCGGTGCTTCAGAGGACAAGAGAGTTCGCCTCATGCTGCGGAAATTGGGTGCGGCCGAGCGTGAAAAGTTTGTGAATTTCATCTTGCCGAAAAAGAGCACTGATTTACCATTCAATGAAGCGGTTGCTACTTTGTCCCAGATATTTGGAGAGCAGTCATCATTATTTAATATCCGATACAAGTGCCTGACAATGACCAAGCGAGACGACGAAGACTAGGCTACTTACTCGAGTCGCGTAAATCATGAGTGTGAACGGTCGCTGTTTCACAAGATGACAGCTGATCAGTACAAGTGCCTTATTTATGTGTGTGGTTTTCAAGCAATCAAAGATGCTGATACCTGAACAAGAGTACTGAGCAGAATTAAACAAAATCCTGACATCACACTGCAGGAAGTGACGAACGAATGCCAACAGTTGATGAACTTGAAGCATGATGCTGCGATGATCCAACAGTCATCCATCCAGAGTAGCCAGGACATCATTTGCAGGGCCAGCCGAAGTCCTCAGAAAGAATCGGTTCCTGTGAGTTCACCAGATTCTAAACCCTCTTCTGCTTGTTGGTTTTGCAGGGAATGGCACTTTGGTCGAAACTACCCGTTCCGAAATCACATTTGCAATGGCTGTGGTAAGCGAGGACACAAAGAGTCGTGTCTTGCGAAGCGACCAACAACGAGCGGAATACCGCGTCGAATCCCGGTGCGCTTCCGATGTCACAACGAGGCCAAAACTGTGACGGCGACTTTCAAGGTTGTCGGTGTTGGCAGGCATAAGTTTACAATGTTGAAGATCAATGATAAAGAAGTTAAGCTGCAGCTGGATACTGCGTCAGACATCACTTTGATTTGTCGACACACATGGTGTATGCTGAGACGACCACCGCTTGTCCACACAGACCACACAGCACAAAATGCATCCGGCGGTATTTTGAAACTTCTCGGAGTGTTGCATTATCAGATCAGTTTCCGTGATCAGCACATTCGTACAACCTGTTTTGTGACAGATCAACCAGGATTGAATTTGCTGTGTCTCGATTGGATGGAGGATTTGAAATTACTTGACCAGTCAGTTAACAGTATATGCCAGAAATTACAAGTCGAGAAACCCGCAGAGACGCAGAATATGAACCTCGAACTTTACATTCAAATTGCAGAACTAAAGCGACGCCACGACAGTTTGTTCCGACCCGGTCTTGGATGCTGTCGGATAGCCAGAGCTGAGCTGAACCTCAAACCTGATGCCAGACCAGTTTTTAGACCAAAACGTCCAGTGCCGTACGCAACACAACTAACAGTGGAGTCTGAGTTAATTCGGTTGTAGTCGGAAGGCATAATCGAGCGTGTACATTACTCAGAATGGGCGGCACCCATCGTTGTGATAAAGAAAGGAAACGGGTAGGTACGTATTTGTGCTGACATTCCAACCGGCTTAAATTCCATGTTGGAGAACCACCAGTACCCTTTGCCTATACCTGAAGATTTGTTCACCAAACTTAATGGTGGAAAATGGTTTGCGAAACTCGATCTAGCTGATGCTTACTTACAAGTTCCAGTAGCCGAGAACTGCAGAACACTACTGACGGTCAAGACTCATCTGGGTGTTTTCCAGTACAATCGGTTGCCATTCGGAGTGAAAACTGCTCCCGCCATTTTTTAACAAATCATGGATACGCTGCTGAACGATATCCCTGGGGTCGCAGTATACCTGCATGACGCATTGATTATAAGGTCTGACCCACTAGCATTGCTGACCACGTTAGAGAAAGTGCTCACTCGTCTAGAAGAAGCTGACTTCCGGTTACGAGCAGAAGGATGCAATTTCTTGATGGAAAGTGTCAAGTTTTTCGGGTTCATCATTGACAAATATGGCCGACGTCCGGATCCCGCTAATATAGAAGCCGTCAAGCAAATGCCACCACTAAGGGATGTTGCCGAACTTCGTTCATTTCTCGGTCTTATAAGTCATAGTGCCTTCCTGCCAAGTATATATCAGACAAGTGATCCTCTGAACGGCTTGCGGATGAAAGGGAAAGAATGGCGATGGGCAAAGGAGTGCCAACAATCCTTTGATACAGTTAAAACAGCGCTCAGTTCCGATTTACTTTTGACCCACTTCAACCCAAACTTGGAGATTGTTGTTGCTTCGGTCGCCTCCAATTATGGGGTAGGTGCTGTCATTTCTCATGTGTTTCCTGGAGGAGAAGAGAAGGCCATTGCGCACGCAGCACGGTTGCTGACAGTGGCGGAGAAAAATTGCAGCCAGATTGAGAAGGAAGCGCTGGCGATTGTTTTCGCAGTGAAATGGTTTCATAAAATGCTATATGGTAGACATTTCAAACTGATCACGGACCACAAACCTCTACTCTCGATATTTCGATCAAAGAAGGGTATTCCTGTTTTCACAGCAAGTCGGTTACAGAGATAAGCAACCGTACTGCTGGGGTACGATTTCAGTATACATTATCGATCTACACAACAACTCGGCCAAGCTGACGCTCTATCTCGCCTCCTCAGTTCCCACTTGAAGGAAAACGATGACTGCGTGATTGCATCTATCAAATTCGAGTCGGAAGTTCAGCGCATCCTGGTTGACAGTGTAAGGGAGTTGCCAGTAACGTAGGACACGATTCGTGCAGAGACGGCTCAAGACGATATCTTGCTGAAAGTGATAGGGTTTGTACAGTCCAGTTGGCCTAATGTCAGAATTTCGAATGAGTTACAACCTTTCTTTAATCGACGCGGATCCCTTTCGGTCGTTAACAATTGTCTAATGTTTGGAGACCGAGTCGTGGTACCAAGGAAGTTGCGGAAGCGAATACTACAGCAGTTTCATTCAGGACATCTGGGAACCAGCCGAATGAAGGCACTGGTGCGATGTTTTGTGTATTGGCCTCAAATGGATGCAGAAATCGAGCAGTTCTGCCAAAGTTGTGAATCTTGTCAACAAGCGGCAAAGGCATCTCCGAGATGTTCGTGGCACCCTTGGCCCGAGTCGAAGAAGCCCTGGCAGAGAATCCACCTGGATTATGCGGGACCAATCAACGGTCAACCTTATTCAATTTTTGTTGATTCCCACACAAAATGGCCCGACGTGATTCCGATGCAAAATCCCACCGCCCAGCAAACCATCAATGAGCTGAACAAACTGTTCAAGTATTTTGGCACCCCGGAGATGCTGGTTACAGACAACGGAGCCCAGTCCACCTCAACGCTGTTCCGAGAATTTTGCATGCAAAACGAAATGCAGAACAAGTTTTCGCCGCCGTACCATCCACAATCGAATGGGCAAGCCACTCGGTTTGTAGATACCTTTAAACGTGCTCTTCTCAAAGCGGAAGGAACGAGGATGTCACGAGATGCAATTCAGCTGTTTTTGAGAATGTATTGAAACACTCCGAATCCAAACACACCGGAGGATAAATCTCCTTCTGATTGTCTGTTTGGACGAAAAATTAGAACGCAATTTGATAGCCTGATTCCCAGAAATGTTGGAAAACGCAACGGACAACCGAGAGAGGGGCAGGATAACAGGCTTCGCACGTTCAAGATTGGCGACTTGATGTATGCACGAAACACCCGGACACCGGAAAGATGGGTTAGCTTAACGGTTAGTGGAAAGAGGGGTAAAGTTATTTATGAGATAATGGTCGGAAAGGACAAGTGGACCAGGTACATCAATCATCTCCGACCGCGGCATGGCAAAACTCAAAGACATCAAGAACCAGCGGCACCACAGTGGGACATACTACTGGATACATTTGGTTTAGAAAACAGAACTCATCTCTAAAGCGGAACACAGCTGGTCGCACAGACGCCACACGACGTGACATGCAGGCCAAGTCGAAAAAGAAGGCAGCCGCGATGGCTACAAGTGGACCCCAGGGTAAAAAGCTACGATCAAGCCCAAGTGTGGAAAATAGGTAGGAGCAATCAATTCAAAGGGGGCGGTAATAGAGAGGTAAGCGGAGCCAATGTCCAGATACGAGGTCTCGCACAGGCTTACCGCTGAGCACGTGAGCTGTCTGCTGCATGCGAAGGTCACCAGCACGAGCGTGGAACGACCTTCGACTGTTTTGCCAAATTTGGGAATCGGGTACAAACTGATTGGCCAACAAATACAAGCCCGAGTCAATGGAGGCGAA